CATCCTCCTCACCTCCCACAACTGCTTCCTTTGCCACCTTTTCCCAACAGCTCACCACCATCTCCCTTTCCCCTTTTCCTCCCACCCCTTCCTTCCACCACCACTTCCTCCTCCTCCTCCTGTTGCCATGTCTTCTCAGCAACAGATAGCTGATGCTCGGCCTTGCACACACAGTGAATTCATTACCTACGTTTGTTTGGGTTAATTCTCGGTTGATAGAGGTCGGACACGTTGAGGCAGTCTCCCAGAAGAAGAAACCCTGCCTGCTCATGCCAACCAACAGCATCCGCATGCAGAGCCCCAGCCATGAATCCCCACTTGGAGCCGCTCCTCCCCACCACCATCAGCCTCTATAAGTAGTCGCGAAAACTTCCGTCCCCCCCCCATCTTCTGCTGTCTCTTTGTGCCTTCCATTTGATAGCTAGAAGAGAGAGTGTTTTCGAGGATTAATGGAGCAGCAGCAGCAGCTACAGAAAAGGCAACGCTCGCAGCAGCCGCCGCTAGTGCCGTGCGCGAGGTGCGGTTCCAGCGACACCAAGTTCTGCTACTTCAACAACTACAACACTTCGCAGCCGAGGTACTACTGCAGGACCTGCAAGCGCCACTGGACGCACGGCGGCACCCTCCGCAACGTCCCCGAAGGCGGTAGCTCCAAGAAGAGCAAGCTCAAATCATCGGCGTCGTCGTCGTCATCGCCATCCCTGAAGCTTCCTCAAGCGCAAGCGATGGTCGACCAGATGGCAGCCGTTGCGGTTGGTACCAGCACCAACCCGGACCGTGCTGCCATGCCGCCGCCGTTACTCTACGGCGGCGGAGCGAGAGCAGCCGGGTGGGGAGGTATTTTGGGAGATGAGCCCGCTCTTCCGGCCTTCAATTCCGGCGGCTTGGACGGCGACTTTGGCCCGTCGAATCCTGCGACGACGCCGTCGGGATTCAATCTCTTGCAGCAGCTGGTGCAGCAACCCCGCTTGACTCTGGCTCTGCACCGAAACCTGTTCATGTTCCAACAGCAAATGAATGCTCCCGCGTTTGCCACTGCAGCTCCCGCCATTGTTGCGGCAGATGCCGCTGCTACAACCGAAGAAAGCAATCAGAACTATCACAACAACAGCAGGATGTCGAACATGTCAGGCGCCCCTCACCCTCCTCCATCCTCATCTTCCATGTGAGGAAACCTTGGATTGCTTTCAATACCTAAGCCGACCATTCCAACTGTAGTCCTTTATCTCGACAACGATAACCCATACACGCAGCTGAAAGATGGAGAATGTACCAACAAAAAAGCCAGAAGAGACCAGAAGACATGGTCCTTAAATCTTTGTAAGTGATTCTAATCAAGCTTTCGATCTTAACGCATGGTACCGGCTTCTCTCTGTGAGAGATGAGAGAGCATATAGTGAATGCATGCCTACTTCTTCTTCTTCTTCAATCATCGATCTCTTTCCTTTTGGTGCGTCCAAAGGAGCTGCTTTCTCTGAAAGATTGCCTCTTGTCAGCTAACTTCTGCATGAACTTTTGGACATGGTACGTGGAATGTTGTGATGGGATGGCCATGCACACAAAACAAAGGACAGTGAAAGCATGCGAATTCTGATGTAAGGTGGAAGCCGGGTAAGAGTGATTCATGAAACCACACAAGAAAAAGAAGCAGATGAGTGATAGGATCCACTGCCAATTGCCTTCCTTGCTTGTTTAATCATTCCACTTCGTTGGGTTAGGTGCAAGGATGAGTGCTTATGACGTGTAATCGAAGACTAATTTGACCAACTCAATAGTTGCTTGCAGGAGAAGGCTATATAAGATACTATACAGTGGTTAAAGACGATGTGAACTAGAAATCATTGTCGGAAGTTGTCATCATACCTTTATTATTCTAACCAGATATATTCCTTGTGGACATGACACTTCGATCATAGATACTGCTTGTAAGTGTTAGTGTTGGATAACCTTGCAAGAAACATGGCTTTATGTTCTTGATTCTTTTTTATTCCTCCGTCACAGAGAAGGGGAATTATTATTCCATGCTTTTGCTTTTCCACAAATAATACAAATATGGTTTGAATACAATTTTCTTTACATCAATGCATTAGGTGGGGAATAGAAGTGCATGCTAAGAGACACAACCACAAGAGGAATAGGAAATATTATGACTAGTTTTACTTGGACGGTGGCAAGGACTATCTTATACTGCATAGCATGAGCAGCTTTTTTCCAGTTAGATTGTGGCCTGCAATCATACCACATGCATGGGGGTCAGTTCATCCACCGTATTGCAAGTTCATTGATGACGGATGGTAGTACTAAAGCTGCAACCGAGAAGGAGATGAGAAACTGGCAATTGAATGTGCCGGAAGGGCGCAAAGAGAGAGAGAGAGAGAGCAAAGGTTGTGGACAGAGAGTGAATGGTGTATATTCATGGAGGATAATGCTCGCGCAACTTTCAAGAACTTGACTGAAACAACAATAAGAAATGTTAATGCTCTTGAGATATTATAAATGATTTCTCTTTATTGGAAAGAATAGAATCTAGCAAATTTAGCATGAAATTTATGTGAGGATTCCTCCGAAGCTATAGAAGAAAAATTGTCACAGGAACAGTATAACTCATGAAGAACCTGTTTTTGCTTAGAAATGTGTATCTTGTTCCAGATATTGTATTTAAAGGGAAAAAGAAAGGAAGAATTGGTGCTCAGTTTCCTCGTATAGTCAGTCTGCAAACAAAGCAAGATCGAGATCGGTGTAGTAAGCCAGCCTTCAATGAGGTTTTTCATATAGCAATAATCTATTTTTTTATGGATTAAGAGACTCAGATTACTTTATGAGGATCTGATAAGTGTTCATAGTCCCTCGAAAAGTGTAAGTGGTGAAGGGAGTCTTTTTTGCTTCCTTTGAAAGTAGGTGAGGAGGAGTCCTCGACAGCCCTTGGTGGGTGGGTGGGGACCCAAAACATTCCCCCAACCTGGTTTAATAGTTGCTATATTTCGGAGTCATGAATCGTACCTGATGCTAGATGACTGACTGTGTTCGATCATGATTGTCCAAATTGTACCATCAGAATAATTGGATGTTAGTGGCGATTCAAACAAACACTCAACATGTTCTTGAAGCAGGAAAAATGTTGTGTCTACTCTCCTTCCCTACTTGCTATGTGATTTTTAATCTCAATCAAAGATTTAAGGATCAAATGGTATAACACAACTCGAACCATCCATTAGTGTCTAAAGAAATAAATATCGACAAGTAACTACTAATTTGTAATCAACTGATACGATCAAAATTTAATATGAAATTATAGGATTGGAAGAAGCAAGGGACACAATTTGATGCAAAATTATTTTTATTTCGTATGTGGAATCATCGAGATGCTTAGCAGCTCTTTTTCATTGTGGATAAGCAGAGTACGGAACAATTGTGCATCAACTTAATGTTATTAAATAGCTTTAAAGTGAGGAAGACATAATTCAATATCAGTACAAGCATGTTTCAGACACAGATCTTGTAGCGACCAAGGACATCTCTGTTTGTCATGTCTGAATGAAATATGGAAGATATCAGTGGGAAATAATATTTCATAGCTAGTATAAATAAGCATCTGAAGTCAAACAAACAATTCTTTTTTGCCACAAGTAATTTGGCCAGGACTAAAAGGTTGGTTTCTGGTTGGAGAACAAAGGAAGTTCCATCAAAGATAAAAGGTCCTTCGAAAGACCTCCTTCACAGATGACTCACTCTATCAGAACTGTAACCAAATAGTTGGTGTCAGAGCTCTGCTAGAAAAGAATCATTAGGCCAACTATTTCTTGGTCAGGAAAAGGAGGATGGGAAGCTAGCTTACAGGCTATGTCAGTCCAAGGTGGGTTGTCACTGTTAGGATGCAGATAGTTGTAGCTCTGCACAACTTTCTGGTGTCCTGGTGCACCCTTAGATGACCATAAGAAACAAACAAATTCAAGGAGTGTACTTAAACTGGCTTTTCTCATCAACAGCATCTCCATCATGAATTTTAGATATGATATTGTTTATCTGATGGAGTGTAGGATTTTCTTGAAATGTGGACTGAGTTGATTCTGAAGTGGTGGTGTGTGTTGAATGAAGGGATTAAGTATATTCTGCATATTACAATTTCGGTCAGAAAATAAAAATTTAACTCAAAAAAGAAGAGAAAAGGCAGATAAAACGCCTACGATTTGCTGTAGTAGAGCAGTTGAAAATGTCAACCTTTATCATACCTTTTGTTGCAGTGTTTCCCATCTCCATGTTAATGTGCACAGTTCAAGCATGCTGCAGAGCTTCATGATATATACACTTCAAAGCACTTTCTCGAAAATTGCCAGCTGATCAATCAACTTGGCCCAGCCCTCGGTAAAAGTGCAAGCAAGAACAAGGAACGAGTGCAACATCAACAACTGGAGAAGATTGCAACATCAACATCAACAACGAGTGCAACATCAATAATCACGAGTTCTTCCTATGCAAAGGTCAGGAACAATATATTTTCAAACAGATACACATTTAGTTATTTGTAGTACTAAAACTCCTTTTTGCTGAATAAGACTATGATTCTGAAGGGAAGATATCATGGAAGAATGTCTTTAGATCACCTCTATAAGTATCAAAAGCCAACAATTTTGCAACCGCATCCTGCAAACAATTCAGAGAGTTAATATTAGGTACAACCCTTGGTAGACAATTTGCAGAGATCTATTTCATCTTAGAATCCTACAGAAAAGGATCACCAAGACAAAAAAAACCCCTTATACCACCTCAGGTAATAAAGTCTCACAACATTCTCTCATAAAACATCCAGTTAATGGTTACTAGGACATATTACACATGTCATCATTTTAACAAAATTTGACCTGGTATTGGTGATCTTTAGCCGATAATGTCTGGTTCACGAAACGGTAAATTGGCCTTCTAGTCTTGACCATCTCCAAAATATCAGCTGCTCTTTCAACAACCTCTTCTGGGACCCCTAAATGGAATTAGCATCATGTACATTCATAAATGAGATTCAAATTAGAAAAATATGACCTTTTTATTTTTTATTTTTTATTTTTAAATACAGCATACTAAATTATCTTCAAGTTTCACAAATGAATAACTTAAACCAAATGAAACTTGGTCATATTAAGTTGCTTGCTGTGGTAGTATGTTGGACCTAGTATATTCTAGAAGAATACTATTTATTCAACATTTTACACTAATATCCTGCATACTTTATTGAAAATATTAATACACATTTATGCATGTGTACAACAGAAAGTGAGTCATTCATCTGTTGGTATTGGATCAAGACAAAGAAATCTTCCTTAGGTGTTAGTTCAGACAAAGGTTCTATTTGTGTGCAATTTGAAAAGGTGCTGATCTTGAAGAATCCTCTTTGAAGTAAAGGTCCATCAGACTGAGTGATGGGCAGTGAAAATCCATCTTAAAATGTACAGTTCCATGCTATAGTGCAAGGATTTTAGGTACCATAATTGAATTTTCAAGGACTTTGTTACCATCAGCATCTGATGTCCATCATATTGAATTCAATTTACATCAAACAGTATGTGTGAGCAATTTTTGTGTATGCCTAATGCCAGACCTGTGATCAATCAACTTGAGTTCAATAACATTTATCACACACAGCATATGCATGTTCATCAATTGTGTGTGCGCCAGTGCTAGCCTATAAGGTAAAATCTGATACAGATTGTTAGAAAGAACACATGGTATTCACTTTAAATTAGAGGATACTAATCCAACATGATTTTGATGGATAAATATTTAGTATACATATTTGCTCGGTATGGATATGAATCAAAAGTATGATGGATTCAGATCTGTATCAGATTAAATATAGATGTAAGATGTGAATGTAAATTTTGCATGAATCATAATACTGTTATTATTTTGATAATATTGCTCACGATTCCATATACTAAGGGACCCATATGTACCACCTAATACATAGCAGCCTACCAGTGGTCCAATATGTACCACCCAGTATATATCGGTCTGCTAGTGGACTGCCCTAAACCGGGTGGGCCACTTCCAAAATATGGTTTACCTATCGGTATAGGCCCTGTAATAGGCTTGCACCGAGCAGTAATCCAGATTTTTTTTAATTAATATTTTTTATAAAAAAATTAATAACCCAACCTGTGCACGTCTCTCTCTCTCTCTTCAACTCATGCAATCCGCTCGTGCTGCCCACACCCTTGGGCCCCCATCCACCGCCATCACCTACACTGAACCAATACTCTCCTCCCTCATCCTCCACCTATTGCTGCCTCGCCTCCTTTTCTTTACCATCTCCTCACCTCCAATTTTTTTTTTTCCACCATGTGCTCTTGCTCTTCTTATTCGCCTCCTTCTTCTCTTCCTCCTTGCACTCCCCTTTCATTGTACTATGGCAAGGACCATCGTGCCATGCCAACCGATGGTATTGATCCCTGGGCAGATCGGTATGTACCAATAGATACCGTATTGACACGGACTTAGCTGGTTTTGCCTAAGTCGTGCGGCACCCTCGCGCGTCCGTCCGCGAAGGTCAGCCTCCCCGAAGCCTCCCATTGTCCCTTAGGACCACCAAAAGAGAGAACGGGTTAAAGAGAACGCCTCAATCGGGATCCACAAGCAAACATCTCCCAAAAACACTTCATAGACAATGCAAATTACAAACAGACTTTACAAGCTCTGAACAGTGGCACAACAAAGGGTAAAATGGTCCATTACAGACCGAAAAGCTCTCTCACGTGTCCACATGACACAACCTTTATTTACAAGCCTAAAGAGGCCATCAACCCAACTAAAGTGGGACTATTAAGCCTTCGGCCGCCCCTCTACATTCTGTACAAGGCATGAACATGCCAACAGACACGGACAGATATAAGAATTACATCAAACATCTTGTTTCAAAGTTTGTCCGTGACATTCTCCCCCACTTATCCCTTCGACGTCCTCGTCGAAGCCTTTGTGAACACTGCAACTCTTCGCCTTTGCTGAGTCTTCAATCTTCCGCTCCAGCTGCAATGCGCCTCCTGGCTCCCAGCTGCTCTCCGCTGCTGTTTCTGAGTAGTCGAACCTTTGATCCGCCATGCTGCTTCAACTCGCCAATGACTCTGACTCTGGTGTGGGGTTGGCTGAGTTGTGTTGATCCTCGTTGATTCCTGCGGATCCACCTAATGAAGGAAATGACCATCCTTACTGCGCCAGTCTCTCAAAATCTCCACATGCTGCTTGAA